GGTATATCTCTTCTTAACTCCATGCCACTATGTCTACCCTGGTATTCAAATTATTATTCGCGACCAAAAACAGGATCGAGCGATGCTTTGGGCATTGTTAATACAATTTATTCGAGGTCTCACATTTTAGTGACCTTTTATTTATTCGGTGTCCGATACAGGCAATAATAGCTATTGTATAACGCATCATTCCAAGAAGGCGCCACTGTGCTAGGCTCTTCACATTATGAATATTAATTATTAAAGTAGCATTAAAAAGTGCTGCAAATAAATTGATAGTGTTCTTTTTCCCACGGTTCTGTGTCATATACGTTGCTCCTTACTTTGTTGGTAACTTTTAAAAGTGTAAGAACGATTGCTGTTGCTCTCTAACTGATACTATAATTCATATTTTGATTAGTTCCTCATTCTTTGTCTGATGATAGTGACTGACCCCTTTACCCATTTAGGCTTTTCTTTTTTTTATCATAATATAAACTCTTTCCATAAAGAAAATTTTCATTTCATGAAATTTTTCATTTTATGAAAATAGTTGAACGAATGGTGAGTCGCCAAGTTTGCTATGCTGAAATTCGGTCGCCATATCAAATATTATATTATATTATACCATTGTAAGGTGGGGGTGGTGTGTTTGTTTCGATGTTGGTCTACAATAGGTTTTGGCCGTAGTGCTAGGAGGTTTTTTTTTTTGTGTCAGAACCTCTTTTATTCTTTTGTGTATTATGAATTACAAACTGGGTGTAGCCTAGATATATCTGTTGCTTTTGTTTGATTTACAGACTTATGATTTTATTGGCCTGCTTGATAGAATATATTGTGTTAGTTTAAGTTTATTTGTATTGTTTAGCATATAAGTTAAACATTCTTTTTCAAAAATTGTTTATGTATGCCTAGTTTTAAGCTTGCTTATTGTTTGTAATTGGATGCACCACCATTGTGTTATTCCTAACAAATTGATTGATTGACCGTCGGAACTGTACCGGCTAATGACCCGACCGTAATTCTTCTGGTACTACAAAACACAGCGAAACAAAATTTGGTAGCACGATTCTCAGAGTTCTTTTTGTTATGTCAATTCACTGTTACGGTACAATAGCTTTTTATACTTAATTTTATCTTATCTATTGTGAAATCGAATATTAGAACCTCTAAAATCATGGCTCTGGTGACTAGCAGGATTCATCCATGAACCTTGCCATCCTTGGTACCTTTAACAATCGAATTACTCAATGTATAGGCCTAGGCATATCCACCTAATTTTTGAAAATTAAAAAAAGAAACAACTAATCTATTTTAATCAGCCGAAAAAAGGGGGTTTTTTTTTTATGCAGGTAGGTTTAGCCCTTTACAAGTTGTAAGCTAATCACTACGCAACTTACCTGCAGAAAAAATAACTTAAAAGAAAGAATCAGAAACTATTAATCAATCAGCCGAATACTCCTAGAACTCATCATTGAAGCTAAAAGGACAATATACTTTGGTAAAATAATCCTGTCTCGCACAAAACATGCAATTTTGCTAGAGCGAGACCTGTTCAGAGCCATATATATAAAGAGTTGCGACATTCCGCTCCTTGGTTTACGAAAATCACGTGGTACACACCGTCCATTTTGTTTCATAATCTTCCCCAATGAACACATGCAAAGTATATGTGTTATGTACGGTACATTGCATATTAATTTCACACACTTAATTGGGTTTACAATTATATTTTATAATTAACATCACTTAGTATATGAACAGCGTATAAGAATTCATATATAATCAAATATTTGCGCGCGTGCGTGCTCGCGTAAATGATTGAAATTAAAATTAGAATTGTTTTCAATTATCGTTAATTCGTCACATTTTAATCAACGAAGACCCGACCTATTTTATTTAATACAGATGAAGACCCGACCTATTTTATTTAATGGTAATCTTTTCTTTGGTTTTAATTTTTTTAATAGTTGCATTATTACACTGTTTACGTTCATCATTAAAATTTTATTTTTATTTTCTCATTCGCCTAGATGCGTTCGGAAAAACATTTAAGCTAAATAAGAAAAAAAAAAATGTTTCGCCCTTTTCTGACGATAAAAGCTGTTCGCTAAACAACATTAACAATTGTTGTTCTTAATTTCAATTCTTTGTACAGCCTGTATAAATACGAATGACAATGAAAATAAAGGTGATGTTTAATAATCTTAAAAATGACTTGCTGTTTCTATTGCATACTATTATATAATTATTATAACATTGTTTTGGAAACGACGCTTTTAAAACAGTGGACACGCTCTTGCAGTGTGTTTATAAAAGTAACATACTGTACAGCCATAATACAATATTAAAATAGAGGCGAGACTTTTAATACAATAAAATGTACGTTACATAATTACACAAGTTGAATATATCACAGATCCTGTATATCATTTATCACTTACAATTTATAAAATTTACAGCAAAACACAGTTTATGTATTGCGGCCAACTGACCTATACTATTTTATTATTTATAAATAATAATAATCAAATTAATAACATGAGATTTGTATATGGCTCGCTCATATTCAAATTTAAAGAGCAACAATCTATATACCCTAGACGGATTTAAATTACATTTTGATATACGTATTTAATTAATTTTTGCTGGTTGTCATATAGGCCTATCATTTATTTGCAAAAATAACTACTTAAGGATTGCCTAATTAAAGAATGCTTGTCATCGAGGGGCTCTCTCGGTCTATCGGCGAGGATTACAGAACTGCTTAAAAATAGTAAATTATTACAGTATTTATAATATGAAATTGGATATAAAGTAGTGAAATCATTAAAAAAATCTATAAATAGTTACATGAAATTCGACTACTAAAAAGATTAAATGAAATTAAACTATACAGGAGGACGCTAATTGTATTTATACAATATTATACACAGAAACGCACATCACGTTAGACACAGAATGCGCATCGCGTTTAAAATGGCTTCTAAATTCCCAATGTCGCAACTCTTTCTATCTATGGCTCTGGACCTGTTGCATGCACAATGCCACCAATGCATAATTTTCCATCATTTGGCATATTCATATTCTCATCAACCTCCGTCATAGTTCGTACACATTGCGGGTCACATTGCTTCTATGCTTTGCGTCAATCGGTGGGGGACAGGGAACACGTCCCCTATTTTTCAAAGTAGGGGGAATCATATCAATTCTCCCCCCCCCCCACACACACACCCACACACACTTTTCACAAATCTTCTATTGAAACCCC